GGTGGGATTCGAACCTACGACCTTTGGAATACTAGCCCAATGCTCTTCCAACTGAGCTACGCGGTCAGGACGGTTCGAGTAAGTGATATTTCGGAACAGTATCTAGTTCCTTCAATACCAATGTATTCTTGTAATATGAATTTTTTTCTGAAAAAATTCATATTACAAGAATACATTGGTATTGAAGGAACTAGATACTGTTCCGAAATATCACTTACTCGAACCGTCCTGACCGCGTAGCTCAGTTGGAAGAGCATTGGGCTAGTATTCCAAAGGTCGTAGGTTCGAATCCCACCGTGGCCGGGCATATTTTTCAAGCTCGCCCGGTGTGGATATGCACTCAGAGTAACATCACAAACATATTATTCACCTGAGTACACAACACCAGCACAGAAAAAATTGATTAAATAATGCTCCCATTATGCTTTGCACGCTTAGAGTTTAAGGTTTAGATCAGAGTTTAAGGTTTGCAAAGGATGACCTTTTTTGAATTAGCTGTATACTGATTTACAATACGTTAATACCAATTAATTTTATTTTAGATTGTCTTTCTTCTTTCTGTTTCACCTCTTTCCTCGGTTTCTCTTCTGTATTTCCCAAAAATTGTTATTAATAGACTCGCCACGGTGATATATAATATTGAGCTTCCTTTCCTACAGCAAACTGTCAAGTTCATTCCATTTCGCCTAACCTCTCTTTATCCGTCCCTTTTCACATTTCGTTATATCGGTCAACATCACAAATTATGCAAAGCCAAATTATTACTCTATAATTATTGCCCTCATGTATTTAACAATATTGTAACGTACAAAGTGGAACGTACGTGGTTGGTGTGTTCAAATTTAAAATATAGATACATAAGTGTAATGTATAATACCCATGTCCCCTGCACTTTTTCTTTTCTCCATGTTTGTCGATTTGACCGGAACCTTCATGCATGGGCGGATCAAGCAGAATTGATGGTAATTGATCTTACTGATGCACTAATGCGCATTTGTATAGGGGGATTATCTGGCATCCTCCGTCGTGATATTTTCATGCAATAGAATTTATGATAATTATAACACTGTACACTGAGTTAACATTTCAATGTCTTTTCATATGTATTTTAAACAGGCTCGTGTGGTACTGTATACCTTAAGCAAGGAAAAATTAGTGTTGAAATTTGATGCTAGTGCTTCAAACAACATGAATTGGTTTAGTTTGAACCGTCTACAACAATCTCCGTGGCAAGACATATCAACATCTCCCAAAAATTTCTTCAGCATAGAAGGATCGTGTTGGAGTGGAACTTGCCGTTCCTTTTTCATTAATAATAAATATGGGGGTTGTGATGTGGATGCAGGCTGGCTAATGATTGGTGGTAGTCGAGGCTGTTCGTGGGAAAATCGTTTCCCAGGGAATTCATTTCAATACAGTATCGTTGGAACATACGTGTCTTGGATGCAATATGGTAAAGTTCACGTTTTTATTCTAACTAAGTAAGAGCAGCTGAACAGGTCAGAATTCAGTGCACTTTTCAATTATCGCTCGAGAAATAGTCTTGTCAGAACGTTTGGACGTACAAACGGCAAACGCAGTGTTTTGGTGTTACGCGAAGCATATTAAGACTGTGGCACTATGGAATCGAAAATATTATATAAATCTTCCAACCCTTTCACCTGTTTAGATGTTTTGTATTCTATTCTATAGGCCTATTTCACACACAACACATTAAAATATCATACTTGACGTTCAGACGGCAACACAGGTAGCCGTGAAGCCCTGGGAATGAGGTTGATCCACATTCGGATCCAACTTCGTTCCCAGGCTTTATTACCTCCACGATAAGGAAAACCCTATAGGAACGAGGTTGATTCGGATGTTCTATTTTCCATAAATCTTCGTTTCCAGGGCTTCTCGGTGTTTTGCAAGAGGTTTTAAATTTCACAGTGCAGCATGTTTATCCTTTATTTAATTTTTATCACAATTCGATCTTGTGTTCCATATGGTCATTAATCCATTATTTTACAAATATATTTTCAGAGAACATCGATACGGCTGACGTGTTTGCTGTTTACCTTCAGTAGAGATTAGAGAACACTGTCATTAATGAATGCCACAGCAAATCAGACAACTTCATCACCAACAAACCACAGCTGTCGTGGTATTAATATACTAATATAGTGATGAATATTCTTAATTGATGACAAGATAGATGGTCTCTTTATAGTAATGCTTATAATTCATTGGACACAAGTCACTATATAGACTTCATAGTCCTCAAGAAGAGATGTCAATGTTACCCTATATAAGTGCATGCATGTTGGCATATACATGCATGGTGTCTCGAAACTAAAATTTTCCCTTTGATTTGTGCATGATATTATTCAGAACAAATTCTGATGTCATAAATAAATTCGAAATATTACTGTTGAGCTTTGTCTCCTCTTGCATTTCCCAAATCATAAGCTTTATGATGGAACTGCTTTATAATTCTTATGACATTATTTCGTAAATATTGGCAATGTATAAATATCTGCTTGTATATCATTGTATAATTTATTTAATTATTTAACTATAGTTTATTTATTTAATAATATTGACTTAATATCAAAAGAATCACCTTCTCTTTCAAAAATAACTTGAGTGAAAGCTATTAGATATAAAAAGTAAAGCCTTCCTGCAGGGGCGGCGCTTGAATTGGGGGGGGTGGGGGGTGTAAGTGAATTTTGTCGAGTTTTCAAGGCAAAATATCATGATATCCTTGCTACTTATAAAACAAATCGCATTATTTAACAATTATTCGCCGAAAGCGAGGTGATTATCGGTGAATAAAAACCGAGACGAAGTCGAGGTTTTTATTCACGATAATCACCGAGCCTGAGGCGAATAATTGTTTTAGTATAATTTCATAGGTGATTATTTGGAAAAAAATAAGAAAATACATATTTTTCTTCGTCATTTAATTGACAAAAAGGCTTCGGCCGCCATTTTGAAAATCGCTTAGGTGATTATCGCGTAATAATCACCTCAACGGCAACCAATCAGCATGGAGAATTTTCAATAATCACCTATGTAATTATACTAAAGAGGTATATTGTGCATTTGTGTTGTTCTATACAACACTCTCACTGCGAAGTTTTAGTTAACTGCGAAATAGTAATATTATAAATAAATAAGTAGGTGAACAATATTTAGCCGACGTTTTAGTAAGCCGCAAAGGGGGTCAACAAATAGTTCAGTTAATAATAGTTCAGAAAATGTGATGTGAAACTTAGCACTAATGTTTGAATCACTCTTAATATTAGAAAAACATTTATATATATTTTGGTTTTGTTGAAAATTCCTGGGCCGGGTTGTCTGTCTGTAGTAATAGGTCATGTAACACATTCAAGTAGTACTAACTGAACGGTGGGTGCTTCCTCTCGCCGGACCATTATTAGCAAATCTCATAACTGATTGAATAAGTCAATCATGATGTAAACACGCGTGTTCATTAAGGGAGTCTTCGCATGCGTGAAAAGACTGGGACTGGCCTTGAAGTTTGGCTTCAAATTTCCAGTTGGAGCGTTCCAGTTATATTCATTAAAATGGTTCACACCAAGCTGTTAGAGTTTTGATACATTTAGAAACGGTGCTCAAATTGTTACGGCAAAAGTGACGTTTTTAAACAATTTCGCTCCGGCATGCGTAGTATGAACGTGACGGCTAATTGCGACTTTTCAGCGCCATTTTTCAGTGAACATGGTCTAAGTGCACGAAAAGTAACTTACGGACCTCAGGTGAATGAAACAATCGTATGGTGCGACGTTATGTTCAAACGTTGAATTTTTCATGTGCCCAATGTGCCGAATATAATGCATAAATTAGTATAATTGCAAAATATTACATGCCATTTAGCCCACATTTTGAGAGTTAGTTGCCATAAAAAAGCCATGCAGGGCGGTTGCCAGGCGGCTAAAACGAACAAGTGGCTAAATGCATATAATTATAAGCCATACTGAGCGATGCTAACATAAAATATAACTTCTTCAGGTTTCAGCGTTCTTTTCGGTACGTGGTCGTTCTGATCAGTGTTGAAACGATAATGTACACTATGAGACCTTTGGTTCTATAGTATCAAGATGTTATTTGTTCATTATATTTGCATTTCAACTTTATTTTACATAATAATTCCAATATAAGAGCAATATATTATTATGGATAAAAAATGTTTGGATTAACAAATATCAGATGAGATAGACAGACATCACATTAGGTTAGGGTCGAAATATATTTTATGTTATCGCTCAAATTGCAGGCAGTCAAAACTGCTGTATATATAGTTAGCCGCCGCACTTGGAGAAACTATATGTTCTTTTTTGTTATGAAAACATAATGTGCTTTGCCTGAGACGTTATGTAATATATATAGCATTCTTCAAATCCAATACAGCGATCATAATAACATCATTTCGAAACTTAGTGTCGAAAGAAATCCGCGCAGAAAAGACTAGTAAGTGAATAAATTATATTTTTAGCATATTTATACTGTATACCTATAGTTCTTGAACCTTTAGGCTAAATGGCAATTCTATAGACGAATCAACCAGACGAAATTAAAGTGACACAACGTACATGCACATACTACAAACCTATGTTGAATATGTAAATTATGAAAAGGATCCTTTGAGTAGGTTATACCCCTAGTGTGACGCAGTTGGTTATACACCACTGACGTTATCCCATCGGATATATCCCCTTGGAAAAATGCTGACCAGTACTATAGAGATGCATTATATATTCATTTATTGTAATGAAATTTTATATATATCTTCCTGTGTTTTAAATGTCCTGGATTATTTCGTTGTGATTCAGCAGAGTTGTTATGTGTTAAATAGGCACCAAAATGCCGCTGAAAATGGCACTTTACCAACAAGTATAGAATTTTAAAATTTTGTCATGGGATAGATTTTCCCGGGATTTCCCTCTAAAATTTCATTGCATTATATTATTATACATGGATATTATATGAGAGTCATCAAACATTTTCACATAATAAACAAACTTTCTCGAACTAGTGCAGGCTAAAATTTCTTGGATCCCTCCTGCATGGGATTTTTTTCGGGGCCCCTTGACTAGAAATCCTGGCTATAGGTCCCAGTTATACATGCACGCTTGAGATAAACACATGTATAAGGAAAGACAAAAGTGAATGCAAGATTGATAGGCTCTTTTATAAAAGAGCAAGATTGATAGGCTTTTCTACTGAGCCGAACATGTTTGTCACTGTTAATACAGTGACAAACTGGTAACTATATGATTAAATCGGTGACAAATCTCTCCATGGCCGGGACTGAGCTTCGCTGATTCTCATGCATGCATGCATGCATGCATGCGTGTATCGTGAGTGAATAAGTCACTGATTTCTGAATCGTATATACGCTCTAGTTGATAAAATCAATAACGCCAAGTCGTGAAGTCGAGGCTTAGTGCTAAGACGATGATGATGACACTTTTATTTTTTTTATAAAACTTTTTAACACGCAGCTGATTTCCAAACGAGGTGCGCTAATATTACAAAAGACAAATGTATACCCTAAATTAACTTATTTAAATATAACTATATATTTATTATTTCCAACATTATTATTATTATTATTATTATTATTATACGTCTTTATTAAAAATTGAAGTTGCAACAAACGTGCATCTTTACAGTGCATATATAAGATATATATAAATATATATATATAGTAATTATTAAAACGTTCAGTGCATATGAGAAATGTTAATTAGATTATTTACAAATTTAGTATTATTTCTAAATTAAATTACTTACATGCATTATAGTTAATATTATATATCGTATATAAGGGAGTGTTCATTATTTATACCCGGGGTTGGTACCGAAGAGAAATGGGTTGGGTAAGCCATTTTTCTGGGGTATGAAGGGTTGGGTAAATATTTTTTTAACAAAGCCTATCGTTGTGTAAATTATTTTCGAAACAAACCTTGAATTGAACAAAATATGAAAATCCTTTATTTAACAAAATGGGTCATTCCAGGAAATATCCATTCATTCCCCACATAGAAAACTAAACTCCAACTCCCCATCCCCTATGATTACAACAACGAGATATGGTAGGACTGCAGGAACTTGGAGGCTTGGGAACATAATATGAACTTGTGAAGGGACAAATGATTATATTTGACATTCAGTTAGTGCACCAAATTTGCATAGTACTGTTTATACTATGGTGGCCTAGCTTGTATAATAAGATATATGTATATATGTAAAATACTTGTATAATTTTGAAATTGGGTTGGGTAAAATAAAAATCCAATTGACCAAAAGGGTGGGTGGTTGTTTTTTCTCTTTTCGATTAGTTTCTCTTCGGTACCAACCCCGGATATGAATAATGAACACTCCCTAACAAAATTTTAAAACTAAAAGTCATTAAAAAGACACTTGTTCAAAAAGGATTGTTTAAAACGTTCTGTGTAAACTTTTGGTAACATAAATTGATGTTCAGGATTGTGCATGCATGACCTTATTGAACAATAATCGATCCCTCTCCTCAATCATCTTGGCCATTGAATATTTATTCTGAGTGTATCCATATCGGAATGCACGATTGAGAAACTTGTTGAATTTATCAATTTATTTCGCTTGCAAAGCCGATCCCCATACTTCAATTGCATAGTAAAATAACGACAGGATCAATGAATCGAACAATTTAGTAAGTTCATTTAGTGAATATCCGTAGAATTTACAAACTCTCAGGATGTAAATTCGACTTCCTGCTCATGGGCGTACCGGGCGGGGGGGGGGAGGCGGTAGCTCCCCCAGTTTTTTGGGCAGTCGGGCAATATTCGGTGAACAGTCGGGCAATTTTGGTTAATTAAAAAAATAAATGGGACAAATTCTGTAAATTTTGTGGAAAATTTCGTGAAGTTTCCCAAATTTTTGTAGGTTCCGGATAATTTTGGTAAAAATTTTTGACCCCTAAAATGGTACACTGACCAAAATTTTTTTGGCGACGGGAGGGGTTGGAGGTCACCAAAACAAATTCCGGAAAAAAATTTATTCGGTACTTGTCGGGCAAAATCGGGAAAAGTCGGGCAAATTTCTTGCCGCCCCCCTAAATTTTTCCTTCCGGTACGCCCATGTTCCTGCTTTTGACAACAAGCTATCTACCTGCTTGTCCCAACAACGTGGGTTTTCTTGAAAGGTGACACCAAGTAGTTTTAACCATTTTTTACGTCGTATTCCATTAATAAGGGGGGGGGGAGGTATGGCAGGTGAACGAGTACATAGTAACATTTCCCAGGTTTTTTTTAAAGTTGAGTTTCATTCTATTGTTGCTTGCCCAACTCTCAATGTTAGTTACCTCGTCCAAAGCCGAGTCACCAGACGATGTGACAGGAACACTCACTGTTAAATCATCTGCAAATGTGACCAAATTGTTCGTTTGTGGATGTTTGGCTTCAATGTCGTTGACCATTAACGAAAATAAGAAGGGGCCAAGAACTGTACCTTGAGGTACTCCTCTGTTGATATTAACAAAATTGGTAACAGTTCCATCTACAGTAACTCTCTGTTTCCTACACGATATAACATTAATGAGCCAATTGATAATATAAGGATTAAGATTTGTTGATTTCAATTTCTGTGTTAAAATATCGTGGGGGACGCTATCAAACGCTTTACTGAAATCGAAGGATATTACCCGAATGAAGTTAGCCTTATCGTCTAACCATTTTAGCCAATGATGCTAGCACTTTATCAGAGATGCAGTAGTGTTCGAATTTTCCCTATAAGCGTACTGGTTCTTAATTATCGATAATCAATTTTGAGGGATAACGAATCTTTTCTTGAAATATGATCCTTTCGAAGAGTCGCATCAGTAACATTAGTCAACGATATTGGTCTCAATTGATCGCATTCGGTTAACGGAGATTCCTTAGGTAATGGGCTTAGATATATTCGCTAGCTTCCACATACTAGGTACACGCTGCTGTCTCAAAGAAGAATTTAATACATTTGTAAGAACTGGTGCAAGATAGCATGCAAAATCCCTCCAAACCCAATACGGAATACCATCCGGACCAGGTGATGTTTGTTTTTGTCTCATCATAAAGTTTTCAACAGTCTTGATGTCAACAGTTGGAACTCGAGTTCCTTCAGGGATTGTCAATAGATCATGCAGGTCTCACGTACTCATTATCAGTGTTTATATCTTGGAAGTAAGCATTCATAATTTCTGGATCGATAATATTACTAATATTTTCCGACCTAGATCCTCTCCCAGTAAACTCAGTAATTTGGTTAACGGTTTTCCACCATTTTCGAGAACCTTGTCTGTAATTGATTTTATATCGTCATGAATGGCTTTGACTTGGTTTTCTCGAAAAAGTTTATTTATCTTCTGTTGAATTAGGTCAGTATCAGCGCCTCTCATAAGTTCCCTATTTCGTACATTACACAGATGCTTAACAAGCGGGGACATAAAAGGTGGATCACGAGTCGACATTTTGACTTTAATCGTGGGAAAGCACTCATTGAACATATTACAAAGTAATAACTTATCTCTTAATTCCGGTATCTGATTCCATATTTGATCCCAACTGTAACTAAAACATTTTTATACTGGACTAATTCTATCCTATAGGTCTGGGGGGAAAATGCCTAGTCGAGGAACTCAAGAACCCTTTAAATTGTAATCATTAAATTTTATTGTGTTAGAATTTTAAAAGTGCCACACAGTCTTTGAGGGGCTAATTGATTGACCATTTTGTACACGAACCTTTTCATTTGCGCCCTACGCGTTCGTCGAGCGATCTTCAACAAGAGCATTACAAGCCAAAATACAGTAGACTATCCAGGTCCATTTTTGAAATTCATCGCCAGTCTGGCCCATACTGATATCTTATATACACTAGATAGTGCATCTAATTATTCTGCAATTCAAAAATTGAAGACGTGATTACAGACTCAGGATATTCCCATGAAATGAGAAGACTCGCATGTTTTCTATTTCTTAAACAGGGGACTTAAACATTAAGTTAAACTATTCCAAATACATTTTCAAACTATATTATTGTTGTTTTTAGGCGTTTATTAGCGAGTGGGAAACTTCAACATGGCCGCCATCTATTCAAATGGGGGTAACCATGGGCACCGGAAGCAACATGAAGCGGCGGGGGCAGCCATTTAAAAAGGGCACTTATTCTTGAGCCTTAATTTTTTTTTTGCGGGGGGGCAATGTTCGTTAACATTTTGCTGTATAACGGATACTTCATTACTTGTAGCTAATACAGTTAGACAAATTTCGGCATGGATTGGAACATTTTTATTCGTTGCATGACACTAAAGACTAAAATGTATTGTAAAGCAACATGACAGTTGTCAGTTATTTAGGAAGGCTTTCTTAGGTAGAAACTGATTGGTAACGTTTTTGAGAGGAATTCAGATTCAAATATGAGTTAAATTGTTTAAAAACAGTTTTCAATCTCAATTCATGTGAAAAACGCCCGACGTACCAAGTGCAGTTCTTGTAAAAAAGGCAACCTGCTGCCCCCGCACTGTTGAGGCAACGGGAGCAGCTGCCCCCGCTGCCCCCGTGACTCCGGCGCTCCCTGGGGGTAACCGCTGGAATATTCTTGGCTTCAATTTTACTAAAAGAGATGCGCTATCTAGTGTATATAGTAAGATATCTATGGTCTAGCCGCTCTATTCCGACGTTTTTATGAAGCCTTTACAGGATTAATTTAGAACGAATTTCGTAATTGAACAAGAAGGTAAAAAAGGATGAAGAAATTCAATCTTTCTAAATTAATCCTTTAAAAACCTCTGTACATGGAGTAAATATATATATATATATTATATATATATATGGATATATATATATATATATTATATTAATTGATAAAACTGACCCAGCGGAACCGACCAGACGTGAGGCATTTTGGATAAGTAAACTAAAGACAATGCATCCTTCGGGATTGAACATAGAGAATGCGTAGCAATGTTAATTATAGTTAACAGGATATTGCTATTTGTATGGTAAATCACTTATATTCATATTATGTATAATTAGCAAAATTGGGAGGGTATAAATTGGGTTCGCCTGTAAAGTAAGATTATATTTGATGAAGACAATAAAGTCGAAACGTTACGTTATGTGTTGATTAATTTATATATATATATATATATATATATATATATATATATATATATATATATATATATATATATATATATATATATATATATATATATATATATATATATATATATATATATATATATGGTTTCGTTGGTTATAAAAACTTTTGGCAAAGTGCTCAATGGAAACCAGAGCATGTTTAAATTAAGGTACATGCAACAAATCAACAAAATCCACTAGGCATCTTTATAAAGATGCCTATAGTGTATTTTGTTGATTTGTTGTACCTTAATTTATATTATATTATACATATATATATGTAAGTTCAAAAGAGTCAGAACGACGGAGAAAGAGTTGTTCTGGGGTCAAATTGACCCCAGAACGACTCCTTTTCTGTCATTTTTGTCAACGACACTAGTTAACAAACGCATGCAATATTTCTAATCATTTTAATAAATATTTTTCACAAATTGGAGCGAAGCTTAATGCTGCTGAAGTTCCAGATAATAATGTTGATCCGCCAAAATATTTAAAAAAAGCAAATATGTCTTTTGCTCTTGTCGAAATAGAACCCGAAGAAGTTTTAAAATTATTGAAGAAGCTCGACATTTCTAAGGCCACTGATCTAGATAATATTTCGAACAAGATATTAAAAATCGCAGCTCCTTGTATTTATGGACATCTTACCAACCTATTTAATTTATCCATTATAAGCATAATGTTTTTCCAAATGAGTGGAAATCAGCAAAGGTTCAACCTCGTTCCCAGGGCTTTCGTATGAGGACGAGGCAAGGCACGAGAAAGTCCTGGTCTGGGCCAGTCACGTGACTACCCAAAAATTGGCAGTATTTCACAGCTACTCGTTAAGGAGTGGCGAGATCATATTCTTTAATAAAATATACAAGTCTTCGAAACAAATAAACAGCCAAAAGACTTCTCAATCGATATTATTTATGTGTAGAGTGAAGTTTGGCACGAATCAGCTGAAATCTCTGAAGACCCCGTCTATGTTTTCTAAGATATACCGATATTTCTGGACATTTTTAGCCACAGGCAAAGCTGCATCCAAGCTGCATCTAGGCGTCTCCATGCAAGTGGTGATTCACACGAAATTTGCTTTCTCTCGTTTTGAACAGTATGGCTATTGCTGTTAATATTTAAATATTTAAATATGCTCTTATAGGTATGTCTTAGTTCAATATATAAATAAACACAATTTAAAACCTCGCCGCGTAACCTGTTTACGCTGTACAGGAATATACGGATTCGCTTGTTTCGCCGGACACCAACAGTAGTTGCCGCGTTCAGGAGCAATGCTTGCCCACAAATTTTATCCCCTTCACAATGTTTGTTTTATTTTATCGTATAGTCGCAATTTTCAAGTATTTGGAGTATTCTGAAACTGTAAAACTCGGTGGCGTGACGAATCTTGTAGAGACTACATTATATACATCGGCCTAGGCGTAGAGGAGATATACTATTGCTCGAGTCAGGATTCGGGCCAGGACTCGAGCCAAGACTCGAGTCAGGACTCGATCAAAAAAATGCGAAAATACGGGAAATTGCCATTACCCAATGATTTTGTTTCATAAGACACGTTACGCAGGCTAGCTAAATGTTCTACTACTAGCAAATTACTGCAACCTTTCAATAATTACGCTAATCACCTTGTGTAATTTACCAATGAGAGCGAGGTTCCAAGACCAAAACGTATGTGTAATTATCGAAAGGGTGTATTTCCGATATTGGCGTCTATTACAGGAAAATAAGGTAGGGAGAATTATCCTACTCTTTGCAATGAGCGGCAACAAGTATCTGTTATTCCTATGTCTAGTAACTTAAGTTAATGTAATTTTTAGTACTAAGCGTTTTAATGACCATTTGTAAATATGCCTAATTAACCCATATTCTATCTTTTAAATAATGTTTTATATACTCTTGTAAATCACGCGAATTAAGGTGAATCTTAAATACACTATCTATCTATCTATCTATCTATCTATCTGTAAAGAGCGAGAGACTGCTAGTGATGGGCAATACCAACTGTTTTAGTTCGATAAAATACTGGCCGGATATTTCTCTTTTTTGGATATCGATATTTGTGCAATATATCAAAGACAAACAACAACAATGGTATTGACTATTGTTTCATTCACTGTCTTCCGACGCTAATAACCGTTACAGTTAGGGGCCGATTACATGGAGCTTTTCAACCCCGGGATTGAACTCAGCCCTGTTTACCGGGTTGAAATTTCAGCCCTGTCTGTAATACAAAACTCTATCAAAATCAAACGCGCGATTACATGACAAAATTTTCAACCCAGGGCTGAGTTCAACCCCGGGGTTGAAACCGCCAACAATTTTTGGAAAAATAATAAAATTCGAGCAAGGCATTATTAAAAAAAAAAATAAACAACACAGCAAAAAATTTTGAAA